AAGAAAACAATTCTTCTTGGAGGGGGGGGGGGAATCTATTAAATCAATAGAACAATGGAATAAGTCCTGCAGAACCTCTTCCTTAGAGGTCTTCCGTCCAAGCAAGAATGCACACATTCCATATTTTTCTGTGTATAAGACTATACTTTTGTCTAAAATCTTTAGACTAAAAATTGAGGGCCGTCTTATACACAGAAGTAAGCTAAAGAGAGAACAAAAACAAATGGAAGGGAAAGCAGGGATCAAAGCGATTCTGCAGCGCTTATATCCCTTTCTCCTTACACTTGCTAAGCCCCACTTCGATTCCTTCATTTTGGATTAGAAAAGTGGGGGGGTCTTATACATGGGGAGGTCTTATACATGGAAAAATACGGTATATCTCAAAGATTCCAATGACAAGTCTCTAGGGAAGGACCTCAAATTTAAGGGTCCACGGATTCCCTTCCAGCTTTACATTGTTTGAAGACTCCAGACCTACCATTCGTACTCCAATCTGCAGGACAGTTTCCTTGTTAAACTTTCGTCCCCTTCTCTCAAAGGTGGTTTGGAGGTCCTCTCCTAGCCTTTCCATCACCATAAATCGGTAACTGTTAAAGCACAAAAGAGAAACGTTGAGCTCTGCTGCCTTGCAATATCATCACTAACAACATTTAAACACTCATCCTTGCCCGGAGCTGCCTTACACCACATCTGACTCAATTCCAGCTAGCAATGGCTTGCATTCATTTCAAGAATATGTGTGATTAAAAACTGTTCATCGTTCTTCTGGAATCATTGAGTTCAGTTCATCTCCGTTGTTCTGTGTATGCACTACGTTGAACCCACTGATTTGTATGTGAGACGACCAGGAAATATCAGGTATCCTAGATGTGGCTAAGAAAGAAACCTGTCTGAGTCTCTGGAATGCTGATGCCATTCAAGAGTTGACAGTATGATGCTAAATGAGGCAACAGATGGACTGAATAGAAGGCACCTTCCTACGTTCCTATGTATATGCATACTTGAATATCAGGAGGAAAAACTTCTTAACTGTTAGAGCAGCACAACAATGGAATCAATAACCTCAGGGGGTGGTTAGCGCTCCAACGCTGCAGGTCTTCAAGAGTGAATTGGACTGTCAGATCTGTTTTCATTTGGAATCCTACTCTGAGCAGAGGGTTGGAGTCAGCGATTTTAGAGGCTCCTTCCAATTCAATTTACTGTGCTTCTGTGTTTTTCTTACCTTTTGCCATTGTGTTCAGCCTGTCCTGCCCCCCAAAAGATTGGTATCCCCAAGAATGTTAGTCGTTTCAGCTTCATCCACTTCTGGACTGGGAAAAGAATAACACAGAAAGAAGAATTTTAAAAAATAATAATCAAAGTCTTCTTTCTTTTCAAAAACAAACAGCAAACTTTTTAAAAGGTTTCCAATACAGTTATCACAAATCTACGTAGTCATTTTGGGTGTTCATAAAAGATGCTGCAGCCAGAATCCCACACAAATTTGCACTTGTAATTATGTTAAGTCCAGGCAGAAAAATGCTGCTCATTAGTGAGGTGCTGGTTGCGTTCCTGGTTGTGTGCCCAAGTCCATGATCAAAACACACCCAGGAACACATTCGTCAGCCAAGACTTACATAATTTTCCTTAGACAATCCTAAATTGTCTAAGGAATCACAATCCTAAATTGTGATCAGCAATCACATTCTGGCCTGCAGGTCAATGATCCATCCATGTTTCCATGAGTTTGTTCAATCTTAAGGCAGTAAAAATATTAATATTTTTGTTGTGCTTACTGTGTTCTTGTTTTGCTGCTCGCTGGTAGAACTTCAGTTCAGAAAACAAAGGTCCATTCTCAAGGTATTCCTGTATATTAAAAAAGTAGAAACAAATTGAAGGCATCAAATTATTCAATATTACTAAAGACAAAATATTTTCCCCCTGGCCAGTCGAGACTTTTTCTGATCATACAAACTGGATACGGACTGTTGTACTACACTAGTACACAAGTTCTTTCAAGATCGAAGAACATTATTATTTAAAACATGGGAGAACAGTACCAGAGAAGGAACTGGCATTAAGAATATGTAAAGCAAAATATGCTTCTTATATAACACCCTATAACGCTTAAAGAACTCTCCGAGTGGTTTACAACAGTGGTCCCCAACCTTTATGTCCCCAGGTATTCTTGGGACTACAACTCCCAGAAATCCTGGCCAGCACAATTTATGATGAAGGCTTCTGGGAGTTGTAGTCTAAGAACATCTGGAGTTGGGAATCACCAGTTTACAACATACAGTGGTGCCCCCACTAGACAACGACCCCACTAAATGACGAAGCCGCAGGACGATGATTTTTTGTGATCGCTATAGTGATTTGCAAAACAGTCATTTCAATGGGGGATTTTTGCTGGACGTCGATTAGCTCCGTGCTTCGCGAACCATTTGCACCCCTTGGAACGCATTGAACCGATTTACAATGCATTTCAATGGGCTTTTTCATTTCGCTTGACGAGGATTTCGCTTAACAGCTATTTCAATGGAACTAATTTTCCTCGTCAAGCGATGCACCACTGTAATGCTTAAAGAACTCTCCGAGTGGTTTACAACAGTGGTCCCCAACCTTCATGTCCCCAGGTGTTCTTGGGACTACAACTACCAGAAATCCTGGCCAGCACAATTTATAGTGAAGGATTCTGGGAGTTGTAGTCCAAGAACATCTGGGGTTGGGAACCACTAGCTTACAACATAATTATGTTGGCTTCATCTTGCTCCCTCCCTACACATCGCTGGGTACTCAATTTACCAAGCTTCGAAGGACAGAAGGTCAAGTCAACCTTGAGCCATTATGTTGGCTACAACTTGCTCCCTCCCTACACATTGCTGGGTACTCAATTTACCAAGCTTCAAAGGACAGAAGGTCAAGTCAACCTTGAGCCAGCTACCAAAATCTGTTCGGATTGATCTCAGGTCGTGAGTAGTCCTGGCTGCAGTACTGCAGTTTAACCACTGCGGCACAAAACTCCAGTATGTATACATACCTGCATTCTTATATCTGTGGTATAGCGGGCAAAGAGCAATATGATCTAGGTTCACTCATGCAAAAGTCACTGGAAGACCTAAAGTCTCATCTATTCTCAGCCTAGTTTATAGCGCTGGTGTGAGCATCATGGCAGGGAAGGGAAGACAAAGTAGACTATCCTGACACCCTCAAGAGGAAATACTGTGAGAACAAGAAGTCTGGCCAAAGAATAAAACATTGTGAAAGGTTGTACAGGAATTAGCCAGTTTGGTGTTCAACAACTTTGGTCGACTTCTACAGGATCATTTACGATCTGTTGATTCTGACCACAATTACTAGGGCTGGAGGGAGACAGGAGTTTAACCTTCCTCCAGCCAAACTTCACAAATTTAATGACCAATTCCATGTTTAACAGACTCTTCACAATTACTAGGGCTGGAGGGAGACAGAAGGAGTTTAACCTTCCTCCGGCCAAACTTCACAAATTTAATGACCAATTCCATGTTTAACAGACTCTGCTTTCTTCACAGTCCATCCTTACGCACTCTTCTCCTTATCGTTATTCACTCTGCCTACCACAAGCTCTCCTGCATCTATCCTGGCTTTGTGCAAGTTCCACTTCCCCTCCATCATGACAGCCACACTCCAAAATTCACGACGCTACCTTTCCAAAAATAGTAGCCTACAACAACAGCATAGCTGATTATAGAAGCCACAGGCAATAACAGATCATAGACTAATATAATCTTAAAATAATTGATTTAGAAAGGACCTCTAAGATCATCAAGTCCAACCCCCTTACTCTGTGCAGGTATCCAAATCAAAGCAGATCTGACAGATGGTGGTCTAATTCTCTTGAATGCCTCTAGTGGAAGAGCGCTCACCACCACCAGAGGTCATTGGTTCCATTGCTGTACTGCTCTAGCAGTTAAGAAGTTTTTCCAGATAGTCAGCCTAAATCTGGCTTCCTGTAACTTGAGTCCATTATTACAAGCCCTACACTGAGGGAAAATTAAGAACAGATCCTGCCCCTCCTGTGTGTGAGGACCTCCTCTTAGGTATTTGAAAAGTGCTTTTATATCTTCCCCCCCCCATCTTCTTTTCCCAAGGCTTAAGATGTCCAGTTCTTGCAGTCTTTCCTCCTAGGGCTTGGTTTCCAGCCACCTGATCATCTTTGTTGCCCTCCTCTGAACTTGTTCCAGTTTGTTTGGCATCCTTCTTAAAGTGCAGTGTCCAGAACACAGTACTCTAGATGATGTCTAACCAGTGCCAAATATAGGCAAACTAGCACCTCACGTGATTTGGAAACTATACCTCTATTAATGCAGCCTAAAAAAGCATTTGCCTTTTTTGCAGCTACAGTCGTGTCCCGTTTAACGATTGCTCCGCATTACAACGAATCCGCTTTACACAAAGTTTTTTGCGGTCACAATTGCAATCGCAAAACGATGGTCTAAATGGGGGGATTTCGCTTAGCGATGGTCGGTTCCCTGCTTCGGGAACCAATTTTCGCTTTACGACAATCAAAAAAAGCTGATCCTCGGGTTTTCAAAATGGCCACCGGGTGCTTAAAATGGCTCCCCGCTGTGCTTAGGGACAGATTCCTCGCTATACAGGAACGCTATTCAGTGCGTTTCAATGGGGTTTTTAATTTCGCTTTATGATGTTTTCGCTTAATGGCGATTTTCCTGGAATGGATTGTCATTGTTAAGCGAGGCACCACTGTACATCACACTATTGGGTGTATTGTTAGGGAGGGCTACAGGATGCTACATGAAGGTGAAGACTGCACATATATACACAGGGTGGGCATTCAGGTAAAAATAAAAGGTACCAGTCACGTATCACATCACCACAAAAAATTGCAGTTCAACACAGAAGCACACACACATAGTCTAGTTTGCTTGTCCAGTCTCCTACTGCTAGCAACACAAAGTACAGGGCTAAATGAGCATCTCCTATTTCTTGCAAAAGAGGCTTACGGTGAAACTGGATTAAGAATGTCTAGCCCAGCAAAGAGGAATATTAAAACTAAAAGTTATTCCAACAAATTGTGTCGTGTGTGTGCCAAGAAAGTTTAATTTTAAAAAGAAGATATGAGAATTACCACTTTTATGACATGCTCTGCCTTCTCATCTACCGGAATATCAACACAAGGGGAGGCTGTAAGACAGAATGGAGGTGGGTGGAAAGGAAATGGTTACAGAAGTCCCAACGAAGCGAAACTCAGCTTAAAAGCACCAAGTACAGTGTGGGGTGCTCCATGCATATACAGTTTTTAAACACAGAAAGACAAACAGCACATGCTGAAAAAGAAACTCATTGGAGATGATTTTAAAAATGTGAGATATAAACATATAAACTCATGACCTTAGTTTCTTAGTTGACACAGAACCCTAACCTTCAGTTTACGATTAAAGTCTAAGAAGTTAGCAACTAGCTAATACATACCAGGTGAACATGACAGAGCTAACATTTGAATCTAAGTGCCCTCAAACTATGGAGAAACAGATGCATAAAAGAACTGTACTGGGTGGAAGGAAATATTTCTGCAACCGAGGGCATCAGTCCAAATTCCCTTTGTAGGGGTGGTGTTACTGCCCTGCCCTCTATGGCAGCAGCCATCAAATTAGAGTCCACGCTAATTAACTGACCACTGCAAGATTGAGAATTTCTGCCTGTATTCCATTTTGCTTCTCCTCCAGGTATTGTGGAACTCGGCATGTAAACACTACATCCCTTATATGGCAGGTGTCACACAATGATATCATAATCAAGATATGATAGACTTCCATTAACTTGACCTAGTTCATCCCTTTTGAGTGGATCATCTCCAACCACCGATTCCAAACCTCCTGTTGAGTCCGATTTCTCATAGTCTTTGGCTAAAATCCTGTTGCTTAGTGTAGCGTGGAACTCGGCATGTAAACACTACATCCCTTATATGGCAGGTGTCACACAATGATATCATAATCAAGATATGATAGACTTCCATTAACTTGACCTAGTTCATCCCTTTTGAGTGGATCATCTCCAACCACCGATTCCAAACCTCCTGTTGAGTCCGATTTCTCATAGTCTTTGGCTAAAATCCTGTTGCTTAGTGTAGCAAATTGCTCCAATTTCTCATAGTCTTTGGCTAAAATTCTGTTGCTTAGTGTAGCAAATTGCCCCAGAGTAGGTCCGCCGAATCAATGGGAATTTGGTGAGTCAACTTCTCCATATGTACTAAAATGGGCCTCCTCTGAATTGGACTTACTTTAGCACAGTACATTAGTGTTGGAGGAGACCCATTTGAATTAATGGAACTTAAGGAGGAGTTGTATATTGTCCTCCGGCTTATTTAACTTATATACAGAATACATCATGTGAAAAGCCAAACAGGACAAATCCCAAGCCGGAATTAAGATTGCTGGAAGAAATAGCAACAACCTGCAAATATGCAGATGACACCACTCTGATGGCAGAAAGTGAGGAGGAATTAAAGACCCTCATAACGAGGGTAAAAGTGGAGAATGCAAAAACTGGTCTGAAGATTATCATTTAAAAAACCCCAAGATCATGGCCACTGGTCCCGTCACCTCCTGGCAAATTGAAGGGAAAGATATGGAGGCAGTGACAGATTTTACTTTCTTGGGCTCTATGATCACTGCTGATGGTGACAGCAGCTGTGAAATTAAAAGACACCTGCTTCTTGGGAGAAAAGAGATGACAAAATTCGATAGCATCTTAAAAAGCACAGATATCACCTTGCCAACAAAAGTCCGAATAGTCAAAGCTGTGGTTTTTCCTGTCGTGATGTATGGAAGTGAGAGCCGGACCATAAAGAAAGATGACCGCCAAAGAATCAATGCTTTTGAATTGTGGTGCTGGAGGAGGCTCTTGAGAGTCCCCTGGACTGCAAGGAAAACAAACCTATCCATTCTGAAGGAAATCAACCCTGAGCGCTCACTGGAAGGACAGATCCTGAAGCTGAGGCTCCAAGACTTTGGCCATCTCATGAGAAGAGAAGACTCCCTGGAAAAGCCCAGGGAAAGTGTGAAGGCAACAGGAGAAGGGGACGACAGAGGATGAGATGGTTGGACAGTGTCATCGAAGAGACCAACATGAATTTGACCCACCTCCAGGAGGCAGTGGAAGACAGGAGGGCCTGGCGTGCTCTTGTCCATGGGGTCACGAAGAGTTGGACACGACTAAACGACTAAACAACAACAACATGGCAGCGTTGAATCACCAACCCCCCACTGATTCGGTGGGCCTACTCTGGTTCAATTTATTACACTAAGCAATAGGATTTTGGCCATTAATCTATTCCCTTCCCCTCTCTTACTTTACCAGCTTCTTCCCACTTGACTAACTCATGCACCCTTGAGGTCCTATGCCCCACAGAAAATGCTCTCCAAAAAACTTGGAAATGTTGAAGGTGTATAAACAAAAAAGAACCTGAAATCCAATTCTGTGCTTTAAAATAAATGAACTACTAACAGAACTCTGCAGCATACACTGCCCATTCATACCCTTTTCAAGGCTCAACCTTTATCCCCTTTTCACTTCCCGTAGTAATTCTATTCAACTCCAGATTGAATAGAATTCAATCTGGAGTTGAATAGACCCAGATATTCAAATGTAGGACTTTTCGTGGCAGAATGTTGACCTCTAGGAACATTTTCCCCTCTTTTCAGATTTAATTCCTCAATACAGTGGTGCCTCACTAGACGCCGTTAATTCGTTCCAGCGTAATCACTGTAGAGTGAAAATGTCGTCAAACGAAATAAAAAAACCCACTGAAATGCATTGAAAACCGTTCAATGCGTGCCAATGGGCTGAATACCTGCTCGTCCAGCGAAGATCCTCCATACAGCGGCCATTTGCGGGTGCCTGTTAAGCGAAAAAGCCTTCCTAAAAACAGCGGGGGGCATTTTCTTCAGCCGGCGGCCATTTTGAAACCCGATGATCAGCTGTTTGCTGATCGTCTTAAAGCAAAAAATCGGTTCCCGAAGCATCGCAAAGCGGAAAAACCCCATTTAAACCATCGTTTTGCAATCGCAAAAATTTAATCATACAGCGATTTCCTCATTAAGCAAGGCAATCGTTAAGCCACTGTACTCCATCACATGGACAGACCCCAATACCTGGTGGCTTGCACCACAACCACAATTCCCACCACATGCACAGACCCCAACACCTGGTGGCTTGCACCACAACCACAATTCGTGAAATGAAGTTCCTAGCCAGATATTCAGTTCCTCTAATCAAATCTTATCTGTTCAAACCAGTCTTCCAGAGTCTTGCTACCTAGAAATGGACTCTAAGGTCTTCTATTTGGGAAGCATGTGCTGTATCGCTAAGCTATAGCCGTTTCCCTGCAGCTTTTATTACTTTTAATAAGCAAAAGTAACACTGGGGCACACTTCTGGAGGAAATTGTCGTCTTCCTCCCTGTTTGCTGACAGCCTGGCACCCCGGCACCCCTGAAGTCCAACAAAGTAACTCGCTGGTTTTGCTTGCCAAGATGAACTTGGCAACTTTCCCTCGCAGAGGTTCGTTTTCATGGCAATCATCTCTTGGAATAACAGAGAAAGGGTATGCAGTAGATCTCAGAGAGTCGGTTCTATAGGGAACAGTAAAAAAAAACCAAAAAAACTTGCCGATTGGCAATTAAACAGAATTCCCCAACTTCTGTCCACAGCTGATCTCATTGCTACTGCCGCAGCTTTAGGCAAAATCTATGGGTTTTGCAAACATACATAGCCTCAAGAAAGTCGATTTGTGTGCAACACAAGTTAAGTGCATCAAAATGCTCTTTTCTTTTGCATTTCATCCCATACTTGTGAACATCTGTTAAGTAATATTTCCTCTGAACAGAGTTAGTTGGTTAGTTAGTTAGTTCATTCATTCATCTTATATACCACCCTATTAGCGTAATACACTATTCTGGGTGGTTTACAACAGGATAATAATATGAACACTAACATCACAACAGTCACGATCTTTCAAGATCGGGTAGCAAGAGACTAGGATGTTTTTGGGGGGACATGAATTTATAATTTTTCTGCCCAACTCACAAATGACAGGTGTATACAGGAAGCTTGCATTCATTGTTTCATTTTTAGTGGACCAATAAAGGTGTCAAACTCCTCTACATTTGGACTGGGACGTTAAAAGGGTATTCAGAATATTTTGTACCTTTCACAACGGAATTGTATTTCTTTGAACCTTTATGGCTTCCCACTCATTTTCTCCCTGCAACTGACAACATCTAAAATTAACACAGTAAACCGTTTGAAACAAAGAGGGGGGAAAAGTTACTATTTGGACTACATGTCCCAGTAATAAAAGGCCAGGATGGCTAGGAGCTTCTGAGAATCCAAACGGTAACTTTTGCAAAGTGTGATCTGGAAGCAGATGATCCTGGAGCTCTGCTAAAGTTAAGTGCATGCAGCTGATCAACACCTAGAATTGAGACTAAAGGAAACCCCCATCAAACCATCATTCATATACAGTGGTGCCTCACTAGACAATGATAATCCGTTCTGAAATCACTGTTTAGCAAAATCATTGTCTAGCAAAAAGCATTTCCCCATTGGAATGCATTGAAACCTATTTAATGCGTTCCAAAGGGGAAGAATTGTCGTTGTCTAGCAAAGATAGGCCATAGGAAAGCGGCTTTGCGAACCGCCGATCAGCTGTTTAAATCGCTGTCTTGCGAAGCTTAGGTCCCAAAAACACCCATTTTGCGAGCGCAGAAGGAGCTGTCAAAATCATCGTCTAGGGAAAATCGGTTTGCGAAGCAGGGACCAAACATTGCCCAGCGAAATTCCCCCATAGGAATTACTGTTTTGCAAATCGCTATAGCGATCACGAAAAGTCAATGTCTAGCGAGAAAACTGTCATGCGGGGGAACTGTCTAGCGAGGCACCACTGTAATTTTAAATTATCATTGTGGTACCTAGGATAAACAGCATCTTAGTAAGCTCCTGGTGGGATCATAGAGTGGAACCTAATCCAGTAATCTCCCCTTGACGGCGTATCACCCTAAGCAGGTCAGAGCTACGATTGGCAGACGGCGTTACCAACCCTGGTCTGGTCAACAGAACAGACTCTCCAGCAGCCGCCACACTCCAGATTCAAGCCTTTCCTTTGACTTTTTCTCAGGTAATTGCAGGGGCCACAAACTGAAGGACAGAGATACCAAGTCCAACTTTGAGAACTCTCCAAGCCTTTCACTGTTGACTGCTTTACAAAAACAAAAGAATCTCTGTCGATTCTGCACAATAAAGCTCGCCTGAACCATGAATAATAATAATAATGTGCCATCAAGTCAATTCTGACTTGTGGCAAACCTATTCTGTTTTTTCCAGGTAGACAGGAGCCGGAAGTAGTTTACCACTCCTTTCTTCTGGGGATACCCTGAGACTGTGCAGCTTGCCCAAGGCCACCCAGGCTGGCTCTACTCACAGGAAGCACAAATGGGGAATCGAACATCTGACCTCTGACTCCACAGCCAGAGACCTAAACCACTGAGCTATCCAGCCAGCCTTCTGTACCATAAAGGTTTCTCTTGACATTTAGTCCAGTCGTGTCCGACTCTAGGGTGCGGTGCTCATCCCTGTCTCCAAGCCGTCGAGCCAGCGTTTGTCCGAAGATAGTTTCCGTGGTCACGTGGCCAGCGCGACTAGACACGGAACGCTGTTACCTTCCCACCGAGGTGGTACCTATTTATCTACTCGCATTTTTACATGCTTTCGAACTGCTAGGTTGGCAGGAGCTGGGACAAGTGACGGGAGCTCATTCCGTCACGTGGATTCGATCTTACAACGGCTGGTCTTCTGACCTTGCAGCACAGAGGCTTGTGCACCACCACGTCCCTGTCCCATAAAGGGATGTAAATCCTCACTTGTTTCACTCACCACATACAAAGACAAGGAACTGTAGAATTATTCTGCTTGCACTATGAGGGGGAAGGCATATTGTGCTGCTCTTAACACAAGAACAAGGTTTTGGTGGGGCCTTTTTGCACAGGAAAACTCCACAAACAGAGCAAAGTGAAGATAGCCATTCCTTTGCTACATTCTCCAAATCAAAAGCTGCTCCAAGAAGGGAACCCCTAAATGAAATTGTGTAAGAATCTTACACTCATCTTTGAATTATTAGTATCCCTAGACTGTTTTCAGTCTAGACCATGAAATATTGGAAATACTTATCCCTTGAGTACTCAGGTCAGTATCCTAAAGGTTACTAATAAAATCATCTCTTAATGGTGACAGAAACTTGCGTTTGACTTTGAGCGAGGTCTTTCACCTTTGGAGCAAAAGCAATGTGTTTCGGCATTTCTAGATGTCCCTCTGGGCCTTGGAACGCTCAACCGCACTAAGCGTGGAGGCATCTGGCATAGCTCAGCTCCCGGCCATCTGCTCTCCTGTCTCTGTGCCCATTCAGAAGGTGGCATGCCAGTTTCGTCAGGGTGTGGATGCCAAGGAAAAATAAGGGTTCAAGAGAATTCTCCACCGCACAGCTAGGGCCATCTCTCGGCGCCAGCTAAAGGAAGAAACGCAGACCCCAGCAAACTGTTTGGAGGATTCTCCGTAGAGACAGAGGTCAAAGGGGTCACCCATCCCCCCTGTTAGAGCAGCTCTACGGGCTGCTCCTCCATTTCTGGGTAGAATCCAAAGGGCTGGTTCTAACCTACAAAGCCCTAAATGGCTTGGGTCCAAACTATCTCAAAGATCGCATCTCCTGCTATGAGCCTGCCTGGGGTTCATGATCATCAGCCTTTCTCTCGGTCCCACCACCTTCACAAGCTGCATTTGTTGGGGACACATGAGAGGGCCTTCTCTGATTCATGATCATCAGCCTTTCTTTTGGTCCCACCGCCTTCACAGTTGCATTTGTTGGAGATACATGAGAGGGCCTTCTCTGCGGCTGCTCCCAGACTTTGGAACTCCCTCCCACTGGAGGCCAGCCTGGCCCCATCTTGGCTGTCCTTCCACAAGCAAGCCAAGACCTTTGTCTTTCAGATACCCTTTCCCCGAGGGACCCTCTCCCTGAGTGAGGACACTCTTTCCCCGAGGGACCCTCTCCCTGAGTGAGGTATTTTAATGGATGGCTGTGCCTTACTGCTTTAAATATGTTTTGTTGTGGCTTACATTTTTTTTAGTATTGGATTCATTTGGTCCTTTTTAGTATTTGTATGCCCACTGTTTTTTAGCTTAAACACTGCCTTTGAAATGAGATGTAAGCCGCCTTGGGACCTCTTTTAAGGTGAAAGGTGGGTTAAAAATATTTGAAATGAATAAAATAAAAATATACTTAAAATCTACTGTTTTCCAATTAGTTTTCAAGTGACAGCACGATCTTTGTAACTTAAAAATACACGTACTTGCTTCCACTAGCATATTAGCATGTTAGTTGTCAGTACTTGTACATAAAATTTTTTTACTATTTCCTCTATTCCTCCAAATTATTATTTGTTTGTGCTATTACTCCAGAACAGCTGACCAGACAGAACAACAGTGTAAAGGAGAGAGTGTATACTTTACCTAAATAGATGAGCCCAAACCCTCCCTGGGCAATCATCCGGCCCAACCTCCACTCTCTCTTCTCTGTATCCTTCAGTATTATTCCTTCCTGGAGAGGAACAGGGAGATTATATTTTCCTTTCCTTTTGGGAGGCATCGCACCCTAATACGGCAGGAAAAAAAACATTAGTGGTTTTAGTCTCTCAGAACACCAGGCAGTGATTTCCCATACAGTTGTGTCTCACTTAACAATTACCCTGCATTACGACGAATCTGCTTTAGGATGATGTTTTTGCAATCGCAATTGCAATTGCAAAACGATGGTCTAAATGGGGGAATTTCGCTTAGCGATGATCGGTTCCCTGCTTCGGGAACTGATTTTCGCTTTACAACAATCAAAAACAGCTGATTGTTGGGTTTTCAAAATGGCCCCCGGGTGCTTAAAATGGCTCCCCGCTGTGCTTAGGGACGGGTTCCTCACTATATAGGCACCAAAAATGGGCGTTGTGTGGAGGATCTTCGCTGGACTGTGAGTTTTTAGCCCACTGCAACGCATTGAACGGTTTTCAATGTGTTTCCATATGTTTTTTAATTTTCCTGGAACGGATTATCGTCGTTAAGTGAGGCACCACTGTATTCACATTTACACATTTTGAAGCATTTACACCTTTTGAAGCATGTAATATTTATCGGCTGCTGACTCCCCTGCATTTTTAAGAGTCGTTTCCCAAACTCTTCTCTCTCCCATCGCAAAAATGAAACAAAAATTCAAAACTAGCACACTTTTCCCCATTCCTTTTTCCAGGGGTGTGTTCAACAGCCTGACACTCAGACACTGAGAGGGAGGAGGTTTTCCTGCCATGGAGGTAAAGAGTGGATAAAGATTTCCTGGCTCAATTTCCCTTTGTGAGTCTGGTGCAAAAAGTGTCAGGGTGAGGCCAGAAGAAATATGTTGGGTTTTGACAGTGACTCGAAACCGAAGACTGACTCTGGGGGGGGACGGAGTGAAACCTGGCCGTAAGGTATTCTTCGGCCCTCTTCTGAGGTGGGCTGGATCGCTCCATGGTTGCAGGATCCGGCTGCAGAGTCAGAGGTTTGGAGGGGGGGTTCATTCCCCCTTGTACCTCCAGGAAAAAAAAGCCAGCCTGGGTGGGCTTTAATTTATTTATTTAAACTATTTTTTACCCCACCTTCTTCCTTAGAAAAGGACCCAAGGCGGCTTCCAGCGTTGAAAGAAGACTAGGATGTAAGAGCAAAACAAAAAGGGGCGTTATGTCACTCTCACACACACACACACAAAAAGCAACATTTAAAGCTAAAAACACCAAGTATTGAAATATTTAAAGGAACAACAAAATACCCCTCTTAGAAATGGTAGACACAAGCCTACCCTTCTTTTGGGCGTCCCTCCCCGCCAAAAAATGGAAGGGGAAACCGCTTCTGAATCCTCTTTCCCTGGAAAAATCAAATCCTGGAAAAGGGCGGCCATAAGTCAGAACTGACTTGATGGCACATGGAAGATGATGATATTAAGGATCAAAAGCCAATATGCCCGGGCAACATGCATTTGAATGTGGGAGGGAGTTTTTTGGGGGGTGGGTGGGTTACGATCTCCATAGGTACCCTTTCCAACTTTATGGGCACATCTATTAATGGGGGCGCTGCCTGGAGCCAGGACCCCAGACACAGCCCTGGGGTTATGGGGTGCCCCCCCAGGAACCCCATCTTTTTCTCTCTCTGCTGACTGCAATTAAAGCAGAGAAAGAAGTGGGGCTTCTGCAAAGCTTCGAGGGAGAGCTTCCCCCTCCACGTAGCGCGTGGCCCTCCCGCCCGAAGTCCTCCCGCGTCTTCCCCATTC